CACTCAGCGGTGGAATGGTTGGAGGTTGGAAATTCGCGAAGGACCGGAAGCCATTATACACGAGACGCTGATTGGCCCACAGAAAGAGAATGTGAACAACATTGACAAGAGAGGAACAAGGGAGGAGAATATGGGAATTTTTGCGATTTAATATGGTATGATAGCACATAAAACTGTGCGATTGAATGTTGGGAGCAGTGGGAAATAAATACATAAACATCCAGTTGTTCTATTTGACTCTTCCCCATTTATCATCTAATAGTTCCAACAAAACACCGGACCAGCATCATCATAATCCAAACCATCAATGCTAACAATAATGATAACTAACCGTGGTAATAAATAAAATTCCAAAGGAAAACAAAGCAGTGGAAAGAAAGAATAACTCCCCGATCCCCTGGAGGCTTTTATAAATACACCAGTCACAAGTTTGAAAAAGAACCGAAAAAAAAATTTACCCTCACTCATGGTTAGAAGGAAAAGAAAAGCATCCTCATATCTCATTGCGTCATTTCAATATCCCCATCAGTCCCCACATCTTCATCGTCCGGATACATTGGATCGTTGGCCACAAGAGTACTATCTGGCCGTGATGAGTGCATAACCATCGGCGGCCGAGATGTTGGTATGTGCGTGTCCCCCAGCCCGTTCAGATCCAGCATGGAGTCTTCTCTCCGCTCCCGCGACGTCGTGCCATTCGCCCGCATCCTCGCGCTGCTAAGTGTTCGCTGGTTCGTCGACACGCCAGCCCCATTGGCAGTCTCCTTCGCTCTCTTTTCTTTGAACTGTTTGTATGTCGTCGTTTTTGGTATTACATCTGCTAGAAACTCGAGGCTGTCGATGCGGGAAACTGCGGTGGCTATGGGGTAATGTTAGATGCGACTATATATATTCGGCTGTTCCTAGCGGAGTTGAATTAAGAAACGAGAGAAAGAGAGAGAGAGAGAGAGAACATTCGTGGCCTGTTTCGCAAAATGCTGTACGATGGTTCATTATGACATACCTAGATCTTTGTATTGGATCGTCCGTCTTGGCTTCCGTTCAGATTTGACGACGTTGTGGCCTTGCTCTGCCAGGTATCGTATAAACATCTCCTAAAGTTTCCATCCGGAATATCCCCCATCCCCGCTGTATTAGTACACAGCCGGTAAAGCGCGCGTCCCATACACAATAGCAGCGTGAACGATAATCACATACTGTTGCCACCGCGATCACAAATGCGGCGTTGTTCGAGCACTGTGCTATATCCTCGTCGAGGTGGATGATTTTTTTGATTCTAGTCACTGTTGTATTCGAATATGGTGGTCAGTGGCATTTCTTCTTACCAAAGGTGTGGACAAAGGGGAATTTATATCGCGTACACGGCAGCGCGGAATGACCACTGGCCTCCTCCTGCGGAGGGTTGACGGAGGTGTTGGAAGGCATACAGCGAGTCGGTGTCTTTTGTATTTCTCGCGTGATAGAGCCGGACGGAAGTAATGAATCGTGAGAGAATGTTGGTGAGCGCGATGCTGGGAGGGAAAAAAGAATCGGATGTTAATATGGTAACTGGGACTCCAGATGCGCGATAGTTGGTTGCTGAGAGGCGAGGAAGACAAAAGTGAAGTCTAATAAATAATAAATAACTCCGCGTGCGGAACAATTAATTGATAGTTGGGTTAGTCATAAGCACACCTTCTATTTCC